CAGATGCAAGGAAAAAAAAGTTAAAACCATGCCAAAGAGTGAAGAAATTTTTTTAAAAAGGATTTAGGACCAAGTAAAACATACAGAGGCAATGATGAGGCAGTGTACAAGAATGGCATGCACCCCCAAGCAAGAAAAGCAAACGAGTTAAACAAAAGATATCCTGAAAAATTATTACTGAAGAAAACTTTCAGAAATACAGTAAAGGCAAAACTCGGAGTGCAAGAACATTAATCAATGGGGAAACTGACCAAGAAAAATTAGCCCTGACATACGCTCCAGTACAGCAACTGGCCATCAAAGGAAAAATAGGCTTTGGGTATTCAGGCAAAGTGACTAAGTCTTTGGATAAGGGAAAGAAAATCACATGGAAACCAGAAGAGGGGAAACCTTTATTCAAGGAGAGACGCTCGATTATGGATTCTACATTGAAACAAGTTGTTCTTTAAAAATAAAGAATTACTGGTATTAAACACGCAAGGACTCAGGGAATAATGTTCCCGTGTCCCCTTCTACTAAAGAATAAGCTCCAAATCACCAAGAAATGATTGGAAACATAAGGACCGATAAACACTAAATGTATTACCCGAGCAACTACACCAGTGAGGGAGGTGAGATGACAGCAAAGTATACACTTCATGTTCTGACCATTTAGGTTTATATAACTATCAAAAATACTGAGCTGGGATGGAGAAGGCTGCACAGAAAGAAGGAGAAGCCTCAAGATACTCACGGGGATAATACAAGGGTGTGACTTTACATTACACGCAGGGGAGAGGACATGAAGGGAAGAGATTACTTCCTACTTCAGTGTTCTCATACGAGGGAACCAATAAGTAGCCAAAGAAGAAATGAAGTTATCAGGTAAATATACCGACTTTAAAGGCAGCCATAAGAGTGAAAATAGGCTTCTTGTCGAATACCAAAAGTAATATATTTGAAGAGAAAAAAAAGGAGAGGAAAAAAAGTATAGTTTTCTACATCATCCCATTCAGTTCTCACACGTTTCTCTGAGCGTGGTAAAGGAGAGTGCAGGTGGAGAAGTTCAGCAGCTGAACAAATGTCACACAGAGAAGTATCAAAATTAGAACCTGACTACAGAGCGCTTATCAGAATAATTTCTTTTACCATGCTTTGCAATGGCAATAATTTCCTTACTGTCAGAATTTGTGTATACAAACTGTTATTCCACACTTAAATATCTAACTCAATCACAAGGGCTAACAAGGAAAACATGATAGCCGGTTAAATTACTTAGAAAATCTAATACAGTATACTAATGTTTTATGATACTAAAATGTCAGTAATTAAATCTCATAAGAATTTATGAGCCTGGCGTGGCGGCACATGCCTGTAATCCCAGCACTCAGGAGAATCGTCACGAGTTCGAGACCAGCCTGGGCTACAAAGTGAGCTCAAGGCCGGCCTGAACTGCATAGCAAGACCCTGTCTCAAAAAGACCAAAAAAAAAAAAAAAAAAAAAAAATTATATATAACCATGTTAGGGTCATAGACTGTTACTGTATAGCATCACAGAATCTAAGAGGCAGTAAAGCAGCAACTTAGTATTCTGGCAATACTCAAGTTGTAAACCTGATTATAAAACTTAGTATTGTATTTGTACAATCTTGGGCAAGTTTCTTAATCCTTTCATTTAAGCTTATGTGCAAAATATAAGTAATATTTATAGTGTTGCTAAAAGGATTCAATAACATGATGTATGTGAAGCAGTGACTATCTCTCGGACATGGTAAGTGCTTGACAGAGTATTTACTGTGACTGCTTTCGTTAGATAAACACCATCAACTGTCTCATAAACCTAACTGGTCATATGAAGGCAAGTACATAATTCTCTAAAAAACACGTCATTGTGCTTGCTTGTAGATTTCGGGTCATTAATATTATCTTAAAAATATAAAAGACATCATATTTGAAGCATAATTCAAGAGTCTTCTTGAGCTGCTAAACTTTAGTTTCTCCCTCAGAGCCTTGCTTACTGTAAAAATAAGACAGTATCTGTCAACTGAACATACTGCTTGACCATTACTGGAGCGTTTTTTTTTAGGTATTTTTGTAAACAAAAATAAAATCCAAAGTACACTGTTACAAAGATCAGCAATTATAAGAATATATGCATAAGAAACATACAAGTATGATATTTATGATATTTTATAACTACAATGGACTTTTCATAACAATTTCATAACAGCGAAAGTGGTATAAGATCTAACCTTAATGCTATCTAATGAGTCTATAAACATACCAAGTGAGGCAGTACCAGTGTGATTCTACTGTGTGATCTCTGGATATTATTATATTAAAACCACATACTTGAGGGATGTTCGAATGAAGTACCTGGAGCCAGACAGAATTAGTTAGGGGAGGCTGAATGGAAGAACTGGTTCCAGGTTTACTGTTAATCTTCCAGTGATTAGCGGGCAGGGGATGCTCCACACAATGGCACACAGGACACCATCAGTCTCAGCCACAAAGATGTGTTTCAGAGATGTTCCACAAAAACAATTCTGAGCAGACAAAAGAAAGACTATTGCACAGGAAGCCAGCTTAGTAGAGATTATACACTTTGAGGTATGGAAAGAGAAAGAATGAAGAAAATGAAACAGAACTCCAGAGACCTGGAGGACACCATCAATCACAACATCACAAATGGAGTCCCAGAAAAGAGGAAAAAGGGGAAGAAAGGGTCCCAAACAACTCAAAGTTGATGAAAAATATTAATTTACACAATGAACTCTGGTTGGAACTCAACTAACTCCAAGTAGAATAAAGTCGAGGAGATCCACATCTAGACACATCACAGTCAAATTGACAAAAGTTGCAGAGAAAAAGACTGTTAGCAAAGAATATCTAGCAACTCTCTCCTTTCAAAAACGAAGGGGAAGTTAAGACATTCCTAGCGAAACTAACAGAGAATATGTCACTAGTGATTTGCCATACAAGAAATACAAAGAAACTTCAAGGGATATGATAGAGTATCTCAAACGCAGAGAGAAATAAAGAGCACGTGCAAAGGTAACTACATAAGGAAATATGAGAGACAGCAAAGATGTAATTTTATTTTTATTTATTTTCCTCATTTACAAGGAAGACATACAAAGCAACTAATTACAAGATTGTGTTGGGAGGGTACCTAGTGTGTAAAGATAAATATACAGTACACAATAGGAGGGGATGGAGGTATATAGGACCAAAGATTTATACACTACTGAAATCAAGTACTAAACCAAAATAGATGGTTTTAAAATTCTTTTTTTTTTTGGTCTTTTTGAGACAGGGTCTCGCTATACAGTTCATTCAGGCTGACCTTGAGCTCACTTTGTAGCCCTAGCTGGTCTCAAACTTGAAAAGATCCTCCTGCCTCAGCCTTCTGAGTGCTAGGATTATAGGCATGTTCCACCATGCCTGGCAGTTTTAAAATTCTAAATGAAATACCTAGAGCAATCCCCAAGAAAATAACTCCACTAAAGAATTAAAAAAAAAAGGAAAGAATTCAAAATGATACCCTAAAAAACACCTATTTAATATAAAAGGAGGCATATATGAGAAAGGAGAGGATAAAAAAAGGGCAGAAAACAAAGGGTAAAGTAACAGCTGTAAATCTCACCTCATCAGTAATTAAATGTAAATGAATTAAGCATTTTAGTAAAAAGGCAGAGATTGTCAAAACTGTTTTTCTGAATGATACATGTATATGCGTATATGCTGTTTTACAAGAGACACAATTCAGATTTAAAGAAACAAATAGGTTAAAAGTGAAAGGATGGAAAAGATAAACTACGCAAACAGTAACCAAAAGAGCTGAAGTGGTAACACTAATATCAGACAACGTAAACTTTAACACAGAAATTGATGTTAGAGACAAAGGACATTTTTATATAAAGGCTCCACACTAGAAAGATGTAACAATTACAAATCTACGCACCTATCAGCTGGGACTTTAAATATGCCAAGCAAAAACTTACAGAAACGCAGGGGAAAGTGGACAATTCAATAATAGCTGGAGACGTCAACAGGCAGAAAACCACTGAGGTTAACAGAGGATTTGCACAATGCCGTATACCAACTGGGCCTAACAGACTTCCAGAGATCACCCACGCAACAACGGAACACACTTTTCTCAAGCACAGGTGAGATGTTCTGCAGGACAGACTATATGCTAAGTCATGAAACTCAAAAGAATTGAAATCATACAAAGTGTATTCTCCAAACAATAAAATGAAATCAGAAATCAGTAATAAGAAAATTTGGGAATGTCATAAATAGGTAGAAATTAAATATATTCCTACATAACTAACAGCTCAATAAAGAATCACATGGGAAATTAGTATACATTTTTAGATGAATGTATACAAAATACATCACATATGAAATCTTAAAAAAACTTGTACATGAATGTTTATTACAGCCCTTGTAACAATACAGTCAAAAGGTGAAACTAGCTTAAATATCATACAACTGACAAACCGATGAAAGAATGTAGTAAATCCATATATGGGAATATTTGCAGCCACAAAAAGGAATGAAGTTCTAATTCACACTACAACATGGCTGAATCTTGGAAGTACACTTGAGAACAAGACAGAAATATTTATATAAAACATACAGAGTAGGCAAATCCACCACGACAGAACGTGAATGAATGGGTATCAAGGGCAAGAAAGATGGGGAGAAAGAAGGGGAATGACTGCTAATGATCAGAGGGTTTCCGCTGGGGGTGACGAGAAGCTACAGAAGCAGACAGTGACGATGGCTGCGCAGCACTGTGAATGTGCTTAATTGTACAAATGATGCATTTTAAAGTGGTTTAGTCAATGTTATGTGTGTTTTATTACCATAAGAACAGTATTTTGGGAAACAGTGTGAAGAAAATATATTAAAAATCAAATATTTTAAAATGATACTCAGAATCTAAAATGAGAGAACTGTAATTTCAGAATACTGCAATGTAGCAACTGTCAGTGCACAATTATGTTCCATACTTGTATGTGAGGCCAAGAGGCCTCAAGCGTGGGTTCATCCTCTTCTGGATCAAAATCTGGATTATCACTTGGAGGAAGAATACGGAAGATGTTAGCACTGATCTGTAAAGAAAAGTAAATTTAGATTTATATTCTTTGTTGTATACCTGAATTTCACAACATAAAATATTTTAAAGATTACTCTAAGAAAAATGTTTAATTTGACCCAGCTATTCCCCTTCTGGGTATCTTCCCAGAATTAAAAACATAACACAGTGATATATGTGCACCCATGTTTATAGCAGCATAATTTGTAATAGCTAGAGCTTGGAAACAATCCAAATTCTCATCAACTGAGAAATGGATAAAAAAGATGTGGTCTTTTTATACTACTGAGTACTACTCAGCCATAAAGGAGGACAAACTTTTAAGACTTTTACAGGTAAATGGATGCAACCTGAGACCATACTCATTAGTGAAATAAACCAGACTAATGTGTGTAAGACTCCCTAGTGTGACTCTAGTGTGAGCAGCTGAAAGAGTAAATAAGATCCAAAATGTACAATAGATATTGTAAAATGGGAAGAAACTGTTCAAAAAGAAAGACAAACTTGGATGAGGGAAAAAAGAAAAGAAGGAAGGAAAAGGAAAAAAATATATATGAGATAGTTATACTACTAATTTCTTTTAGTTCACTGAAAAGAAAGGTTTGTGCTAATATTGCTTGGACAAGTAAATGTCTGTATCTTGTACTCTGAGTAACTAACTTAAAGATAACAACATGCAATGTATTAACCATTGTTACTCTATGACCTTGTTTTGAATTTTTTTCTTTAAAATAAAAAAGTGGAAAAAAAGGAGAAAAATGTTTAAAAAGAAAAGAAAAATGTTAAGCTGTAGCTGTAAATTTGGTTCAAAACCTGTAAATCTCTTCTAAGGCATGGAGACAGGGTTTTTCTCTTTGTTCTACCCAGTAACTCTGACTTTCTTAGAACCCCCATTACTAAAGATTACAGATGACATCTACAGTCCTTTCTTTTTCTTTTCTTTTCTTTACTGTTTTCTTTTTTTTTGGTACTGGAAATTGAACCCAGGGCCTCGCACTTGCTAGGCAGCGCTGCTGGGCTACATCCCTGGCCCTACAGTCTTTTTTTTAAATTACAAGTTCTTTCCAACATTTGCTTAAAATGAATGAAGGGAAGAGAGCATTTTGGCAGAGAAAGGGAAAAAGTACTAATTTCACCTATATCTAACTTGATTCTTTTTGTGTTTTCACAACTGTTCCCATATTCTGCTGCAACCATATTCTATAGTTATAACACAAAACAATTTGGTAAAGTATCTGCACTGTAATACACACATAATCAAACTTGGGGCGAGGAGAGGCTGGAATAGAATACTTTTACTATTTTTACACTGCAGTCTGTCTACTCTGAGACTTTTCAAAACATATTAATCTCTCTGATATCAGGATGCACTCTGACATTCTTCATTGCAGACTCTTATGAAATGTGGTATTTATAATTTCATTCTCTGCATCATCTATCTCAGTACCAAGGTAATCATACATTCTTTTTCTCCAGCAAAGAACAGACGGTGTCCCAAACCACAATTTTTTTAATAGTGACTGATTTACCAAATCATTTACTAAACATTTAAGGTAAACTGTGGAGGGGCTTATCACTTGAAATAAAGTATCCAGGAGATAAGGCAGACAATATTTGTGTAAACAAGATTCCAACTACTCTTATGAAGTAGCATCAAGGGTAGACAAACGACTGCTAATAGTGTTACTGCAACCCTGAGGTCAGAAAATCATAATCTAGAATTTCATCAGTTAGAACTCAAAGCCAGTACTTAAGGGCAAAACCAATCAACAGCTGATAGACACAAATTTCAGTAGAAGTCACAGAAAAAAGCTGAAAAAAGAAATGTATCTCAGAAGTAGTAAAAGAAAAAGTTAACCTTGTAGCCATGAGTAAAACTGTCTGTATGTAACAGATATTCAGAGCGTCTTTTAAAAGTCTAAGTGGCTAAGATGGCTAAACTCTTAACTACATATAAAGTATCCAAAAGTTTATAAAACAAAAACACACATATACACTTGAGTAAATAAACTAAATCTCAGAATTTATTAATCTATAGAGTAATATGACTGAAATACCGGCGTATTTTCAATACCTACTGACAACTTTATAAAAATTAAAAATAAAGTATCCTCCATGCACTTTCGAAATTCCCGAACAGAAACCATTTGAAATCAGTAACAGCAGGAAACACTGCTTTGTACCTTCGCATTTTTTTTAAAAATAGGAAATCCATCAAACATTTAATATTCATATTCTCAAACTCATCACTTTTTTATAATTTGTGGAGCACAGGAAGCTAAATTTATTTTGATTAATGTTCTGTCTATAGCTTGTCTTTAAAAACTTTTAAGGTTTTTCTTTAAAAAATAACCAAAATTTCCTAAATCCTCTGGACAGACCTTCTAGTGTGATGAAAGAAAACCTAACTAGTTTGTTAGCATCAAATTTATCTTTCTTATTATACATTTTGCTCTTCCCCCAGAACATACATTATGGAAGGGGAAAGAAATGAAAGCATCTATAAGTTATACTTAGAATTAGCTTCTATTTTCTGGGATAAGTTTAAACTATATATTCAGCAACTCAAATGACTCCAGCTGAATTTCTGTATTTTACTAGTATGCAACAAAATACAAAAATCACAAATGTTAAACAAATTTCTCTTTGATGAAGAATGAGGATTAATTACTAATAAACAGCATCTTAAGCAACATTACTTCAATCGTGGGCAGTAACCAGTTTTTTACATTAGGTATTTATTTATACAAGTTGAGTGCCCCTCATCCCAACTGCATGGAACAAGAAGTATTCTGGACTTGGAACAGTTGATATACCTAATGGGATATCGTGAGACTGGGGCCTAAGTTTAAACATGAAATTCATTTATGTTTCACATACTCCTTAAATACACAGTTTGAAGGTAATTTTATACAATATTTTTAGTGTACCTGTTTTGACTTCAGCCTGTTATGTAAGGGCAGGTATGAAATTTTCTGCCTATGGAGTTCTGTCAGTGCTCACAAAGTTTTGCATTTCAGACTTTGAACTTCTGGGCTAGGGATGGTCTACAAGGAGCATTACCTTTTTAAAGGTCCTAAATTCAATTCAAGTGTTGTCATCTACAAACATAGTAATTACCATGTTCTAAATGGGACTTTTAAAAAACCCAACTCTCTTACCCACTGCTTAACTACGGAGCTGCCAGTTCTTCACGGGCCTTCCCCTGTCCCTTCACACGCTTTCTCAGTGAGAACGGACGCCCCCGCCCCGACCCCACGTCATTCTTAGTCTGCACAATGCTGAGCTTGTATCTTTCCCCTGGGCTCAAGAACTATACTAGACGGCAGCCCCTAGCCACTGTGGCTACCAAATTCTTCAATTCCTATAAGCAAGGACAGTACATTGTTAGTGAAATGGATGGAAACCTTTCAAATGGAATTTTTAAAAAGCCATTCTCTGGAGTATATTCATTATTGCGCACTTATCAAAAATCAGTCTCAGTTCATAATTACACCTCAGATCTTACTTAAAATTTATATAAATCTGAGGAACGTAAGTCTAGAGGCTTACCATTTTTACTATATCAGAATACGCTGATTCAACAATTACACCACGATTAGTTGAAACATACTCAACCAGTTCATTCAGTGTTGCTCTTTTAATTTCTTTGCTCTTCAAGTCTGAAACAGAGTCCATGAAATCAAACAGTACACAACACTGCTGCAATTTCTGGCAGAAAAGCTCTTGTTGTTCATTTGAAGTGGCATCTATAAATAAAGAGAGAAAAACTTAGAGGTTAATTTTCTATATTAATTTTGAACAAGTTACTCATAAACATAAACTAAAACCTCTCAGAAACCTACTGGTAAATTTCCCCATCTAATCCTATCACTTAGGGATTTATACTGGATTCTTCTCTTTACCTACAATCAATCATGAAATATTACTGGTTCCGTTTAATGTATCTGTATTCTTATCATTTCCACCATATTTTCAGACACGCATTGTCCCTCATCGAGACTATAATAATTATAACCTAACTATTCCTCTTGCCTGGCCTCAACCACTATCAATCCTGATTCATCTTCCAAGCTACTGAAAGGCTAAAATCTTACTAAAATGAGAATCAATATGATCCTACTCAATACTTCTCTTCCTAGTTTGTATATCATAAGTGGTATCCAGGCTTTAAATACATTTTGAGTTTGATCTGGATTGTACACCAAGTGCAACTATATACTATTAAGAGTCACCTCTCAGCACTTTCTAGCAGCCTCTTTACTCTGGGTAACCAATTTCCTGAAGATTATACACTGCTTCCTCTGCCTAGAGGAAGCTTTCCTTACAGCACTGAAGCTAAACTGGTTGGTTAATGTGCTTCTACAGGAAAGTATTTTAGGTGCATCTCATGTATCATATCGTCCTTTATGGCAGTTACATTTTACATACCTAGCATGCCTGGACTCTGAGGCCTTTAAAGGCAGGAACCAAGATTATTTCTCTTTGTCTCCTCACTCTTTGTAGTGTCTAGCACAATGCCTGGTACATAATAGGCACTCAATAAATGTTATTGTTTTACCTGCTACTTATTACAGAAATATGAGCACATTATTTTAATCTAATTTAAACAAATATATGACATTTTTTGTCTCCAACGTTCAAAAAATAATAATTTAAATCTGAACTTTCAAATTTATAAGCAAGGGCCTTCAACTAGCCTAATTACCTAAATTTCTTACACTACTGACATTAAATTTTTTAAACCACACATTTTCAAGCTTACACTATGCAAAACTATTCTTCCTCTAAAACAAGTATCCACTCTATATAAAGACACAGGTAAAACCTTCATAAAGATGATACCTAATCTATAGTTTTTTAATTTCTCTGGGACAGGAAACTAGTAAGATGACTGTGCAAGTGTATTCAGGCTGTTGTCTTCAAGCTGATTTAGACAAGGGATAGCTAAAAAAGAGATCAGCTTTTCTACACGAAGTTATACGAAGTCAGAATACAAATACAGAGCAATCGTTTCACTGGTCAGTTTTACCACATGATAATTTAAAACATACCTGTTTTTGTTTTTTTACAAAAACTCTGGGTATATCATAAAGAAATGCATAATTCCTTGAAAGAATTATGACTTTTGAAGTAAAAATACAGGCTTTAAATACATTTTGAATTTGCTGCGGCCCATCTGTGGCTGTGCCAGTAAAAACTTCTAAGACAGTTCTACACTTACAAAAAACTTGTACAACATTATCTCTTCCAAAATCCACAATGGCCCCCTGTACGTGAAGGCTGAGGTCTACTCTCCTAAGACTGGCACTTAAGAGTCCCTGTAGTATTGATTAAAAGTATATGACACTTCTGACTATCACTGTGATACAAGTTTTTGACTCAGAGTCACCTTCTATGAAACTATTCTGAAGTGGAAATACTTTGATGTATCCTTTTTTAAAAGACCATTGAATTTGCAGCTGTGTTTTAACACCAAGTAATGACAGCCATCTCTGCCCCGGCACTGATTTCATTCTGTCCGAGGTGAGAGTAAAGCACCACTTGATACACATACACGACCAGCAATCATGTGTTCACGACCCTCGCTCATCTCAATATGATCAGCATTTGAAACAGAATCTGCTCATTCTCTGCTAACTTGGTTGTTCTTCAACTTTTCTTAAGTCCTCTGGAGCTTTTACCCTTAAAGTCAAACGTTACATGCATTTAATTTCAATTTATAAATGTCTTCTAATACCAGCACCTAGCTGATTTCAACTAACAGATGCCTTAATATTGACACCTAGTTTGAAAAACCATAAAATAGATACTCTTGCTTTTTGTAAGTTTCCTTAATCATGTTCCATATTTTATTTAAAAGAATGTTTCTTTTCCTGGGCACGTAACTCTTGGGTCTTCTCCAGGTATAAATTAATGTTTTTCATACCTTCCTTATTCAGTAATCCATCCCTTGGCCTACAGATTTAAATTTGTTTTTGTTTTTTCTCTAAGAACTGTATCTTGGCATTTATCTAATTCATAGGTTGGAGAGATCACATATAAGCTTTTCCCAAACATTAGAAATCTATAGAAAGCAGTTCACATTTCAACTTCTTTGGCTCTGGGTAAAAATAGGAGTTTCCAATTCTAGTTAGCTTTTGGTATCATGTAATAGAAAACCCTTTTCCTAACTAATGCTACCAGTAAGTATACAACCGCTACTGGGCAGTCTGCTGTGCTGTATAATAAAGTACAGCACTGTTACTAACATTCCTCCACGACAAAGTCAGCTTGGCTTGTGTTTGTTTTGTATTTTCATGCACGCATACAACACTGTGATCACAGCAGTCCCCCACTGGCTTTCCTCACACTGCTCTCCCCTTCTGCCCTTACTCTTGTCTAGTAACAGTATCCTGTAGGTGACTTATATGTACTCATTCAGTTAACTCTCAGGACGCTCTGAAACAGGTTCTGAAAATTAGAGATACTTCCTATCCTCAACAGATTAAAGGCAGCTTGAGAAGACAAGATGAAAATATAAAAAGATAATGCTATCAGGCAAAATGCCAAAGATATTGCTATTTCACATGTACAGGATGAATATTGTGTCTATTTTCACAGAATCTGGAATCAAAAACATTTTTGAGAGTACTTATGAGATTAAATATAAACAGAAAAATCTGAAATCAAATCAGAACTAGTTAAAAGCAGGAAAGTGAAAGTTACTGCAAAGTATATGACTGCTATACTGAAGAGGGGAGGGGAGAGGGAGGAAGAACAAAGGAGAAAGGAGGAAAGAAAAATAAAGAAAAAATATATCTCTGTATTTTAAAGTGTGAGTTGCAAATGACTGGCGTGTAGTAAAACTGTTTCAGTGGGTAAGAACTAGAGTTTAAAAGAAACCAACCACGTATGGGTATTATTTCACTGAACTGTATATAGGCATATAATTATGAAGTAAGATGTGCTTCATACTACAGTTTGTAGCCAAAAGAAAAGTTTGGAAGCCATTGCTCTACAATATGTAAAATACTACATGGGCTGGGGTTATAGTACAGTGGTGGAACTCTTGCCTAGCATGTGTGAGGCCCTGGGTTCTATCCCTAGCAACACAAATAAAATAAAAATACAGTACTACAAGATCCCATACGATAGTTTGCCTAAAATCACAAAGCAAATTTGAAATAAAGCTGGACTCAAACCATCTAAATGCAAGAACAGTAAGAATACTATCTTTGAAATAGCAAATGTTCCTGGAAAAGCTACATTCTGAATCCTTATCCACTTAGTCACAGTGCATATTAGTTAAGAATGACCCTTCTGTTTATCACTTCACTTTCCCTCTAGAGAAGAAAAACAAAGACACAAACCTATAGTGACAAAGAACAGAACAAGCCCTTAGGCAAAAGATTTCAACAAATTTCTAGAAAACTCAAAGGATAAGTAACTGAGACAACCAAGACAAAGGTAGTCACATGCTAGAATAAATAGAAAGGGGATTACAGACAAAGGCTAACTAGATTAGTTTAAGATTAAGCAATATCTAGAGAAACAGAGGAAGGGATTAAGACATGTGCAGAAATACATGGATTAAATAGAAGTTTGCTTGTACTCAACAGTCACTGATGTTCTAGGTGGGAAAAAACAGGCTTCTTTCCAAGGTGAAGAACCCTACAGAGAGGTTCGTATATTCCAGCTTTAGTTACATGCCTAATTACTCTAAGTAAAACTAGTCATTCCAACTCCAAAAAGTATTTTCTCTTCACTTTTATATATTTATGGAAAACAAAGCATCAACAGACATGCAAGGAACTCCTATAATAATGACAAAAATAAACAAAAACTGATCCAAAGGGACAATTTTGCATATCACTGTGAAAATTCAGATATCCAGGACAAGAGAATGACTGCTCCTGCTTCAGTCTAGCCCAGTTATTCTCCAGACCGTACTTCTCTGAGTCGAGTTCCCAATCCCTGGACTCCTACATGACTTACAGGACTAGGACATAAAAGTGAAGAACGGGACTTCCAAGTTGCTTCTCCTCAGGGAAAGACAAAGAGGCCCAAAGTCTTCAAAGATCACAGAATAGCAGAAAAATGCAACTTACATAGCTGAGTATACAGTAATCTCCCTTTTATCACTGTTTTTGCTTTCTGAGATTTTACTACAGTCACTATGGTTCAAAAATATTAAGTGGAAAATTAAGAAAATAAACAATTCTAAGTTTTAAATTGCTCATTGTTCTTACTGTGATGACATCTCAGGTTGAGATGAGAACTGACCTTTTATCCTGGGTATCTATACTGTGGGTGCTACCTGTAATCACTTAGCAGCCATCTTGGCTACTGTAGTGCTTGTTTTCAATAATACTTCATAACAGCACCAAACAGAGGTATTGAGGCTGACAATTCAGACATACCAAAGAGATGCAGTAAGTGCTTCCTTAAGGAAAAATAGGAAAGTCCTCAACTTAAGAAAAAAAAAATCATATTCTGAAATTGCTAAGATCTATAAGAAGAACAAATCTACTCATAAAATTGTGAAAGGAAAGAAATCTGGGCTAGTTTTGCTGTTGTATCTCAAACTGTAAAAGTTATAGCCACAGTATTGTTTATTTAAGACAGAGAAGGCATTAAATTTGTGGCTGCAAGATATAAACAGAAAATGTGTTCCCACTGATGACAGTGTGTTGCATTAGGAAGCACTGTGCCTAACTGATAAAGTAAGCTTTGTAATAGGTATATATAGCAAAAAAACATAGTATAT